TACCTAACGTCTTGTCAAGGGGTGACAGAGGAAGAAATTTTCTACTCTTGTGTGTGTGTTTTCTTTTTTGCAATATTCAATACAGTCACCAAGCTACTTTAATTCACCAAAGACGCAATTGAGAGCTGAACGGGCTACATGTTTGTCATGCTGCCTTGAATAAACATGTCCCGTTTTGGGGTAGATTTGTGTGACGTCAATGAGGCGTGGGCTATTTGGAGTTGCATAAGGTATGGGGGCTAAACCCCTGCATGTATCTGTTTTCCCCTATTGCGAAATTATACGCAAATAGACGTGATCTAGAAGCCACCATTTGAATGTAGGTTTATATGTGCCAACGCAGGCAAGTTGAATAGAATAAAAAAGAAAAGAAAAAAAAAACTATGAAAATTGGCGAAGTTACTTCTCCTGGAAATTCTAACATTTTAAAACTTCACCGTGTTCGCCACGGAGGTGTCTGGATAACGTATCCAAATGACTGTAGCCGTGAATCCTTGCTGGTTGTAATGATTTGAAGAGGGGTGCGTCCTTGAGGAAAAACACACTTTTCTTCACTTGATCAACAGCTGCCTAAGCAAGGTACAGCGAAGAAAATTTTTGGAAAGTGTTTTTCAAAACAGTGGCCACTTCCATCTGCATAGGCAAGTATCAACCACGACAAAATGCTGCTAACACAAGTTTCAAAAGTGTAAACTACAGACATCATTTCTTGCAAATCTTTCAACTACAACTGTTGCCTCCATTTTGGTTCCAATTTGGCTTGTGTTCACTGGAAGCGAGTTGTATTGTTTTCTGAACGCTTTTGTCTGAATTTAACTTGTCTTAGCCTGCCACACACTTAGCTTATACATTTGGCCCTAAGTTCTCGGAATCGATGTTACTTTTTGGTCTTTAAAAAGTTACTCATAAAAAGGTCAATAGTGCTGGTGAAACAAGCATAGTTTCTTGTACAGGCGCAAAAGACCGAAGAAGAACGCTGCGAGATGTGTAAACCTGTGCATAATCACGCTACCGTACATTTCACCACATCCGTATAGAGTTGGATGCACCCTGCGAAGACACCCAAACACATTACCATCTTTAACCTCTTTCTCTCCCTTGTATCTAAAATCTGGGCCATAGGCTGGGCATGAGATGTGATTGATCTCGTGCTCTTGATTAAGAGTCCCAATTTTCATGTTACCAGAATCACAACTACTAGGAAAAAGAAAGAAAGTCTACACAGCACTAACGAGGTGCGCGCGGAGACGCACCGGCGGTACAACCGCTGCCGAAGTGTGAGGAGATCTTGCGGCAGACGTGACGACTTTGGCACGTGACGACTTCCTCCCGACAAAACAGCGTAGCCCTTGAGACCCCGACACCGCCACGGCCCTTGATTATTTTGTCACATTCTGCCGCTATTAACATTTTAAACGGGAATTCAAAATCAGGAAGAGTTCCCCAAAGCCGTAGGCAAACTAGTTCTCTCCCCGGCTTGCATGCAAACGGCGGGAGGGGACAGAGCTCCGTCGGCGGAGCGAACCCCGCTCAAGATTGACCCCGGTCTGTATACCGTTCCCCCCTCCACCTCAACCTCACCTCCAAGAGGATCGGTTTACTCTGCCTGATTAGGGCTTGTCTTGGCAAATTTGAAAGCGATGAGATTACTTCGCACGGGCTGATCGGAAAGCTGGCAATGGTGTTCACAAAGCAAATAAATAATTCAATAATGCATACTATTACGTAGCTAAAATTGTACGAGAAAGTACACGGCTCTAAACCTTTATATCTTGGACGAGATAAACCTCAAGGGGCCGTACTGTGTTTTCTGTCATTTTAACCATTGTTTGGGGTTTTGTGTATTTTTTAGAAGGGAGCACATTGTATCAACACAAACACCTGTGACGTTTAACTTTTCCCTTTTCCCTCTTTCTGTTTTTAGCGCTTAAAGTGATTATTTTATTTTTGTCTGCTCTCTATGTTTTGTGAAACCAGCAGCAGCGTTGACTGAAATCGACCCTCATTCGATCTGTGGCAAAACTACAAATCAACACGAATTCATCCTCCATGCTATATATGTCTGCAGTATTTGCATTCAAACAACAAGGACGACAACATGAACGATAATAAACCGCAGCAACATAAAACAACAACATATAACAACAACAACATAGACAACAACAGACAACGACAACAACAACAACAGATAACAACAACAATAACAACAACAGACAGCAACATATTGTAACATCAGCAACAGCAATAACGGATGGGGGCAGTTGGCGGCAATCAACAGCAGCCGAGCGGAACCGACAGTAACCAACAGTATCGATGTTAGTACTAACAACGACAACCCAGAGCAACACTTACAACCGAAGCCAGACAAGAAGAGTGTTGGTAATTAAACTAACGGCGTCTTCGGGGCACCAGTCTCAAAACCGTTATCGTTGGTTGAAATTTGTCTGTAGTAACCTAAGGAAAATAGCGAAAAAGTTCACAGAAGAAATTACATATGCTTGAAAAAAGGCTACATCTAAAATGGTGCGGAACCACAAGGTCACTTTTTTATGATCTTCGGTTACTTCTGTTTGAGAGGAGTATTACTTCAGTCGTGGAAGGTAGTCCCTTCTCCAAAATAATGAATGGTTGAGTTAAGAAAACCTTTGTCAGCAGAAATATCAGCCCATCCCTTGCCAATATCTTTGGGCAGGATAATGGAAAAAAGTAAAAAGCACAATGACAAATAACGGGCACACTACTTTACAAATACATTAGACGATATCTGTTAGTTCGAACCCGATTGAAACAACTTCAGTACATTTACTTTGGAAGAACATGAAGCATCGGTCCTGCTTTAATAAAGGGTGCACGTATTTTTTTCTGTCACAATCATTGGAAATACACCTTAATGTTTCAATTAACCTTATTTTCGATTTGCTATTTTAGTCGGTATTTTGTAGCCTCCATGGTTTTGTGAATAAAACTGTGAAGTCACCCAAGGTAATGAACCTCAATGTTGCACTGATTTAGGCACAGATATAAAAAATACGATTTTTTAGTTTGTTATTGTGATTTTTCCATTTTTCGTCACTTTGTTGTTGTATAGGTACACAGAATTATGCCAGAGAGTAACTTTTCTCAGAAATGTTTGAAAGGAAAAGATCTGGGGTTTAAAATGTGAACATGGAAACACGTAAAACAAACAGTGTCTTCCTAGATTTACATCACAGACTAGTTTTGAAAAGCTTGGACAATTTTCAATGTTCAAAAAAGTGTATACGGATTTGAAACAGTTTTCATGTATAAGAGGATGCGCAAATATAAAGATGCACAAAAAGTGAGTCCACGAAAAATGTGTACGTTTCTTTAATATTGTGCCCATTTCACTTCAAATTGAGGGTTAGTGGCGTGGTCACAATTCCTCACGAAAGAGACATTTTAATAGACAAAAATAGAATGGCAGGCCTTGCCGCTTTTACTTTCTTCTCCTCCCCGAAGTGTGTAAAAATACCAAAATCCAGCCTGGATTCACACCTTTGAAAGGCCGTGCAGATTACGTTAAAAAAACTGCAACTTTGGCCACTTAACGAACCCCCCCCCTCCGACAAAATGGTTCTGCATCGGGCCTTCCATGTTAGTGTGAATAGTCGATTAAAGCTAACATTTTCAATGACTCTGTCATATGCAAAAGCACTGTACGTGATCTTTTCACACTCTTCGAAAACCTGAAAGCAAGGCCATGTCCGTGTCTCGAAGGACTTCATTTTTGGTGTGTACTCGGATCAAGTCTTAAATTTCACGATGCTGGCATTTCATGTGCCCATTGCGCAGTCTCCAGCACGTGATTACGCTGCTGGTTGTTGGCCTTAACGTTAAGGCTAATGCAGTCCAGTCAGACTTAAGTACAGTAACCAAATGTTAGTTCAAACAATGTATCAGCTGTCCGCGGCACAAGAAACATTTTTTCCTTATCTGCATCTGAATCTCTTCGTTTATATAAGCAACTGGCGGCTATCGTTAACCCTAACAGTCCTAAATCCTCCAATTTTAATATGATTTTGCACACGCCCTAGGGAGTTAGGGTTAATAAGTAATTTAACGTCTGCACGTTAAGACATTATTAAGTTACCTTATATATATATTTAAAAATTAACATGTCTGCTACAACGCAGTGTGTGAGGATATTGAAGGCCTGAGTACCGTAGTTGGAGATGAAACTTGGATCAAAACCACTGACGTCACTTCATCAGAACATGTTAGGACTCACTTTCCTTACCTCCTGTGTTTGAATGGGGGGTGCCATTAGAATTCCCTTGAAGGTATATAATAATGTAATAACATAACCAACAAAGGTTTTCGCAGGGTTAAAAGGCAAAACCACACTGGTGAAAACAAAACAAATATGCTTTCAGATATTTTGGCAGAGTGTGATAATTGTACACATCAGCTTTTCTCTAAAACCGCGTATTTTTCCCGACATTTTCATGTACATTGACGTTTTCCGTGTTTTTAATGTTTTGTTATCAGTGATCTTGTAGCGCAAACTGCCTTCATTGAGGGATTTCAGGATATTTCGTAGTCTTTAATAATTGAAGAATATGTTCCTGTCCCATTTAGGACGAAAATAGATGCTTGAATATAAGACATTAGCCTAAAGTATGTGCAAAATGGCAGCCCAGCCCACTGAAAAAAATGGTTCCGCCTACGCAATTAATTGGTCTATCTAAATGGAAAGAAAAAGAAATACATCTTGCGCTGACGCTACATTCACGCATTCATTCACGTGTAAAATCGCTGTGAAATTGTTGTCATCTATCACCGGCCCTTGGCGCGCGACGCAATGTGCTAATTTCGCAAAAGGTGACTCGCATTGGTGGAGAAGAAAGGCGCCAAAACGACCCCAGTGCCAGAGGTGTTGAATAGTTAATGCGCCGTTGGTACGTAATATACGTCGGCGGCGCACATGGGTGCGTGACGAGCGCTGTTCTGATCCGCCCCGCCGCCGTATAAAAGTTGGCGCATCCCCACAATTTGGGCCAGAGAGGGGGATAATTTAGACAGTTCCAAAAGGCTGCAGTCGTCTTTTGTTCTTTCTTCGCTCATTTGAAAAAGAAGGAAGCCAGCGGAAGCTAAAGTGTGTAACTTGAACGAGGAGACGCTGACATTCCGAGGTATGTTTGACTTTTGTTCCCTATTGTTTTGGTGATTTCCTCTCATTCCTTTTAAAATGTACATTCCCAGTGTTGTTTTGTTTCTATTCATTGACAGAAGTTGCAGAGGTAAATTTCTAAACCACGATTCATGTTAGTGAAACATAAAAAAGCTGCCAGCGGTTGAAAGGAATGTTACTGAACCGGCTGATATTTATAAGAAAGCTGTACCTACTGGAAAACATTTTGCCAGCTCTTTGGAAAGCTCAACTAAGCGAATAGACGAAATTCGGCGGGCTCAACATTTGGAGAGGCGCGTTGTTTTCAGTTCTAACAATAATAGTAGTAACAATACCGAAGATTTATAACGCGCTGGTATCCGCCAACATGACGCTCAGGGCGCAATATGAATATAAATCAAGTAAAATTCACCAGAAATAATGTAACGGTGGTTGAACAAGTGCAGGTTTTAAGAGAAACCTCAAAGTTGGCGATGGAGGAAATAGTCGGAATATCTGAAGGGAGTTTGTTACATAGACGTGGGCCCGTAGGAGAGAAGGATCCCCCCGGGATTTATGTGTATTGGGGACGGCAAGCAGGGAAGCATTAGATCATCTCAAACGCCTGCAGGGTCGGTAATGAGCCGGTAAATCAATGTTGTTTGTTGGAGCAGAACTTTGAAGGGCATGAAAAACGCGTACAGTAATTTTGTGTGTTTTTATATTTCTAAGCACGAGCGATGAATTAATGAACTTTAGCTGCCTTAGTTTTCATGTTTTCTTCGATATTGAGTCATTAGCCCTGTACACCAATACCCTCGTGACAGCGAAAACAGAAAGACCAGACAGGTCATTCTTGCCATCACATTTCCCTGAAAGAAAGACACCCTTCACTAAACAGGCGCATCAGTAAAACTTAGCAACATTTTTGCAGCATATGTAAGTGGATTTTATTTTTCTTTTCCTAAACTGGGCTATTGAATAGATCTGTGTTCTTCTCACCATTTACACATCTGTCAAGCTTTGCTATAGTCCCCTTTCTATCAATTTACTGTTCTCTCTGATCAAGATGACACATATTCCATCAATAACGACAGCTTTTCAACACAGAAATCAATTGATACTGATATAAAGTTTTGGTGCCCAGAAGAAAAAACACAGTCTTCGCCCGGTAATATACCTTTGCGTACTTTAATGGAGGCGCAGAAGCAGGAATTGTAACTTAACAGACACGACGGGAAAAAAATAAGCAGAGAATCAGCAATAACAATGGACATGGAAAAACATTTTGTCTGGGAATCTTTGCCCCCCCGCAAATATTTCCTTATTTCCCCAAATATTTCCTTATATTTTCTCCATATAATGTGATTAAAACCTACTTAGTTTTGGCCTTGTTTAAATAAAGGGTCCCCCGGCCGTTCATTTGTTGTGAAGAGTTCCCAGTTCCTCATGGAACAGGTTCTGTCGACACAATTTATTAATGAGACATTAGAACTTTCTCTCATCATGGCAATTTTCCGGTTCAGATGCTGGTTTAAAAATTGTGGTTAGAGGTTCCAATAATGCCGCCAAAAATCGTTCCTGAAAAGTTCCTTGTTTGTGTCAGCGTATTACATATCCAGCTTAAAAAGAAAGTGACGCTTTCAAAATTTGTCAATATGTTTGCTTAGGGCAGTTGTCAAGAGTGGACGTAATGCTGGTTTCCCCGTATATTTCATTCATTGCTTTTCTCTTTGAAAATGTTTCATATTTTGAGGGCTGGTGGTGTGTAATATTTGGGAAAAAAGTAACTTTTGAAGGTGAGAACTTCATCTTTGATCCCCGCGGAATAATCACCTTGATCAATTCCTTAGCGCTGCTCATAAAAATGGTGACACACAAACGCTGAATAATTATTGGACATTGACCATTTTGCCTTTAATTTTCAAATGAATATTGCGACCGTCTCCCCTGGGTGCCAGAGTAGTACCCTGAAATTCACTTCATGTTCTGGTCTTGCAAATTTCGCATGCACTGGGGATTCATCCAACAGAACAACACCGTCCTTCTAGTTGCAAATGGATTAAAAGTTATTGGTATCTGTGGTAATGCTTGTGCGTTCTTTCCCGGGCAAGAGGTAAATTTCCAATTTGAATGTAAATGTGATGCAGTTTAATTTGGCCGTAAATGTCATGCTTTTGCAATTGTGACTCTTCTTTTTCTCGTGAGGTCGGGAATCGAATATACATTTCAGCCTCTCTGACTAAAATATACATGACTTATAACACAAAGTGACATTTCTGCTCGAGTCAAAAACGCCCATACATATTTATGTCACGAAATGTTTTCGTCAACGAGATACAAGACGTTTCAAACTAATGAGGAGATTATGGTTTGAATTGCCTGTTTTAATTTCATTTTGGATTTCAATTAAAATGTGGCCTGCAGCACTTCTGAAATTTACATCCTGACCGATTTAATTTGATTACCTTTATTTGGTTTTTAATGTTTTTTTTCTGAGTGACAGAAATTAGTTGACATTTTATAAGGTGTGGGGTTAATTAATCTAGTCTGCCCAGAGCTGTTAAAGAGTTAAGTCGATTGTTGTAAGCTGTTATGTCGTTTATTTCTTTTTCCCTTCAGTTTTCGGACAGTCTTATCAAATGTGCAGACAAAAATGCATAGGGAAATCCATCACACAGTAGCAGAGAATGTGGAAACAGTAATTCTGCACTTGCAGATATTTTAAGAAAGACATTTCAGCACAATGGTAAAAGGCTAGTGCATAAGAGCTCCTTGTAGCGGTCAGACCTCCTTGGACACGCATCCACTTACACGCGTGGCAGTGGTGGAATAAGACAAGAAATCCGCTGAGGAGATTGGCACTTGAGGCGAAACCTAAAGCCAGCGTTACGTTAATGAGGGGAAGTCGTTAGAATATTAAACAAGAATTAGGGCCAATGAATAGAAATACGGCTGACAGATGGAAGGAAACCCAAAGCAGAGTTTGGTTTCGACACTTTTGGAGACGCTTTTGCGGAACATGAGGGACATGTGGCATTGGCGTGTGGAATGATAAAAGTCTCTTTTTTTTAATTTGTCGAATGGTAAGATTTAAATTGTCAATATTTAATGTATGTATGAACTACAATTAATGGTCACAGTTCCTCCGTGTGGATTATATTTCACTCTGTTTCCACAGGACATGCAGAGAAAGATAGCAACAAAGCTTACAGAAACGCACGGTCTGCTCACATTTTTTCTGCACGTCGCTACTGTGAAATATTGCATTGGGAACGGAAACGCTCGAGCTACTTAGCAATAATTTGGCCGCGCGAACCATCTCACTGTGAAACGATGCTTGTCAGCACGAAAAATCGTGGGAACTGAACCAAGCAGAATCATTACTCCCTATTACCGTTAAAGGGTCATTGTAATGAGTTTTTTCTTACGGAAACCACTTTTTGTGCACCTTTTAACTCTTCTTCAATGTATGAAAACTGTTTGAAGCATTTTGGAATTAAAGTGAAATGTAAACTTTTTTTTTTGGTTTTGTTTTTGGTTTTTTTGATAATCCACATTGACCAAGATTTCCCAGACAAGTGAGAGCGCTGTTAGTGCGATGTCCGTCAAGGAAGGCACTGTTCAGTTCGCATGTTTTATGTTCAAATTTTGAACCCCAAATCTACGCTTTGAAAATATTCCTAACGAAAGGTTGCTCGCTGGCTTATTGCCATATATATTTCCATAAACAAATAATTTGCCAAAAGAAATGAAAATCCTCCACAGAACAGTATAAAAGCATTAGCATTGGTTCGAGCACAAATCAGTGGGATATTGATGCTGATTACATCTCAATTTTGCTCATGAATATGCAAATTCTGATTTTCATAAAGAACCTTAAAAATAAATAAAAAAAATAACTTTAAAATAATGATAAAAATGGCAAGACAAAAAAATGAAAATAAGATGAACAGAATCACAAAGGTGCATTTCTTAGGATAATGACATTGTCCCTTTGGTTTTGACATGGTCCCTTGTATGACTTGCATCAATCCAACTCGCGAGAAGTCTCACTTCACGTCCAACCTGGACCTTGTGGCCCATGGAGATGATGGCGTTGCCCCCTCTCACACTTCTTACAAATTCAATCTGAGATTGGCAGTATATGGAACCATCGATATTTGGGCCTCATCAACGCCTTCGCCGTCTTGTATTGGAGGCGATGAGATCCTGAATAGTTCTAAAATATAATAATTTCATTCTGACATGTTATAATTAAGGAATGAAGATGACGCGATGAAGGAAATTAAAGACTGTCATTTCTGTACCCAGAAGTTTAATTCCAAATCTCGGATAGAAAATTCATACATCTTTATCGACAAAATGAAAAGCAGTTCTCCAAAGTGACATCCCATCTGTAACTATAGCGGGATAGCAAGGCTCTTCCCCTTTTTGTATTGAGTATTGTTCAATAAATAAACTGGATTTGCCATCTTGTGAAAGAAGGCAGTCTTGCGTTCCGCTCCCGTCCACGAACATAGGCAGTCGATATTCTTCGATGACATGCACTTAATCCAATGAGCCCGTGATCTAAGTAAAATATGCCTGTTTTATTCTAAAATCTTTACAACAAGTGATTTCTTTATAACAGTTCACAACATGGCTGTCAGAAAAATAAAGAAACAATGCTATCTAAATTTAACGCCCTATTTTACTTAATATCCATTTCACTCAATCTGGATAGAAGCCAACGCCTCGTGGACACCAGTAATGAAGAATATACTTCAGTGGCATCTAATACGTACAGCTCCCAGCGATGTGTAATCTGTGATATCAGATTTATCGTTCCCATTCTGTTTTTGCGCGATTAACCTTTCGACGTGCCACGAATCTTGGCTTCACACCCCAAAAACCAGCCAAATCTGGTCTTCCGTAATCGACAGAATTCATCAAAATAGGTTGTTGATTGTATTTTTGTTTCTCATGGTTCTCGAGACGGTAAAACACCGCTCCCGGAATTAATTTCTGAGGTACATATTA